TCATAGTGACAGATCAACGAGGGTTTGCTTCAGTGCTACAGTGCATAGCTAATTTTGATCATCAGAATAAAATATTAACAAACACTGTTGTGACTAGTATTGACTGGAATGATGAGTGTGTATGTGCTGAGGTTATGGGGCAAGGCAGAATGTGTGGAGATTACGGCATCGTTACATTTTCTATTGGTGTACTGCAGAATTGGATTGCAAACAATAAATTCAATGGTAGCCTTAGCAGTGCAAAAATGAGAGCTATTACTAATTCAAGAATGGGCCTGTATTTGAAAATATTTGTTAGATTCCCAAGTGTTTTTTGGGATACCAATTATCACTACACTTTTCATACTAATTCAACAAAGCGTGGGTATTATCCTGTTCTACAACCAATTGGAGCATCACTTCCTGGGTCACCTCCTATTATACTCATGAGTGTCACTGGTGATGAAGCATTGAGGATATCACGCCTTAGCAAGGATGAGGTGAGGCAAGAGGTTGTTGCTGTATTACGTGAATGGTATAACAATGATAACATTCCTGAAATTACTAATGATGATATTGAATATTATGCCTGGAATACTGATGAGTTTTTCCTTGGTATGTATTCTAATAATCCTACTACTCTAACAATTAATGATAAACGGAATCTTGCAATGCCAGAAGGAAGGCTGTACTTTAGTGGTGAAGCTAACAGTATTGAACATGGTGGTGCAATCCATGGTGCCTACTGCAGTGGAATGGATGCAGCAACTAGTATACTAACAGCAAAGGGAACGTATAATGAGGCGAGCAATTCATTGCCTAAATGCCTACCATCTTCAGCTAAAAGTTTGCAAGCATCTATAATTACTCTTGCTTTGATTCTATTAGCTGGTATGTGGATAATGACATAGTTAACAGTAATGGTGTGATACTTTGTAGGATTCTGTTTATGCTAGAACTACTTGTAATTAATAATAATAATATTACATCAAACAATTTTTTGCTGAGTTTACAAATTTAACTTTTTATAACATATCTTGAAATCACAGTCTGCTTAAATTTTCAATATTTTCCTTTGGTTTTATTTTATTTCTTTATAACATTTTTTGTTGATGTTGAAATAATAATAATAAAATAATTGAACTGAAGTCCTGTTTCTTGTGACTGCCGTTATAAAAGAAAGTCTTTATATTTCTAGGTTGAGTCATAACTGACAATTTTTGTCTGTCTCTATAATAATAATGTATGAATTATTAAGTTCAATTAGGCTTATATACATTGTACTAGGCTACTAGCAAACTAAAGTAGTGCCTTTTTTGATCAAAAGCTGCCAATCCTTTAGAATCAAAATAAGTTGTTTCCTTTGCTGAAATGATAGACAACTAGTATAAAAATTTTGTACAATAAAATGGTGAGACAGTAGTCTGAAAATAGTTTCCTTTACCATCATTCCGTCAGAAAATTGCAAAACATTAAAAATACAAAAAACTTTTTATGTATTAAAGCTTACCATTGCATACTATTAGAAATAATTATATTCACTGTTATTGTGCTAATACATAACTCTTAAGAAGACCCAGGGGTCATATGTACCAGACAATCAAGCAAGAACTAAAATTTAAAAAGTACCATTAGATCTACACAAGCAGCGATACTGTCACAAGTACCAAAAACAAGAAATTGTTTGCCATCAGGGTTTACCACAAAATATGATAAGTGAACTAAACAGCATGCTTCATGAGCTGAGCAATAGTACATGTCCCTTTAACAATTCATAGAAAATTAATCTTCATCGGAATCCACTCAAACTTTTTACAAAACAAGTTCATAAATATCAGAAAAAGTTGTAAAAATGAAAAATCTCAGCTAGTCATTTTTAAAATTTTTTGCTAAAGACCTTGTACTATGTATAGGAACTTTGGTACATTTTTTGAGCACCTTTAAAAATTTTTTTAAAGTTAAATGTTATTAAAATCCACTCAAACTTTCTATACAACATAGTAACATGTATACATATCAGCAAAATTACAAAATCAAAAATTTTTACTTTGTCATTTTTGATAAAATCTGGCTGAAGATGCTGCAGTACTACAGTACAGGGACTTTGACCCAATTTTTGAGCAACTTTAAAAATTCATTACAAAACCAGTTTCAGGAATTTGCTCAAACTTTTTACACTACATAAGAACATGTGTATGTATTAGAAAAAAATTTAAGAATGGAGAATTTATTTTTGACAAAATTTTGATGCAATGGAGTGTAATCACTTGAACAGGAGAGGAAAAGCAGCTAAAAAAATATAAACTAAAAATTCAAACTTACTCATTCCAAAGCCATTGTCAGAGGGTTTGGTGAATTGTGCTTTATTGCAACAAATCAACTAAAGAGGTTTTACAACGTTGCGATGCATAGTAGCAATTTTAATCAAGACTTAGGATAAAAATTAGCAAAATTATGAATGTGTATGTGCCTATAAATTATTTTCAATTGCAAATTCACTATATTAAAAACAAAAAGGAACAAAAAGTATATAACTAAAACTAAAACAAATACAATAGATAATCTTACTAAAACAACACTACTCTACATACATGTAGATTGTACAATATTAGAATAGGTCTAGTGCCTGAGCCAAAAAACTCTCTCTAAATTAAATTATCTTGTTCCGGCTCTGTATTCTAAAACAATAAATAAAAAGCACATTGATGCCTGTATATTTTTAAAACATACTGATTCAAGGCTTTTTGCAAATTTAGGTTTCTAAAGCAATGAAATTGATACTCTATACTGGCACGTGTATATTATTAACAATTTTAAAAGGTTTCCAGTATTTTAAAACAATAAAAATTTGATTTAGACAATAATTTTGTAAAACATACCGATTGAACTTTCATAGAACTACTTCTAGTTTTCCTCTATAAAAATAGTGAAAATACATGTATACTATGCAAAACATACCGAAGGAGGTCTTTGAGTTCCCTAAAATAATAAAAAAGTACATTAATTAAATCAACATTATGTATATAGTGTATTGTACAAAACATACCAGATTAAAGCCTTTAGTCTTTTAAAACAATTTAAAACCAATAGATTAACATTACAAAAACAGCTTAACAACAATAAAAAAATTAAATGCATGTATGTGTATTTGGGCAAAAATTCCCAAAATCCTGATCACTTACTGACTCAGAATAGGTAATACATAGATCACTGATTAATATTTTTCAGGATAAAATTTTATAAATGAATCTAATCCATAGCTCCTGCACTAATTGCTTGCAATCACAAATGTAACTGATATGAATTTAGCTTCTGGCAATGCTTAATGATTAGTATCTGCAAGTTTAAAACCCACAAATTAGACATTAACTTTTTGTAAATTTAACTTGTCCTATCCCAGAATATTAGAATAGTTATTTGTTTTACTGCAGAATCTTACATTAAAACAACATAGCTGCTTTAAAACTTACGCGTGGTATTGTGCTTGATTTCTTAGTAGACTACAAATAAATAAAACCAATAAATAATAATTATTTTTGTGTATAATTTTTACCAATTGATCAGCAGAATTATCATCAGCATCATCCTAAAGCAACAAATCATATATTGAAGAAATTACAGTTCTCATCTCAGCTCTCATAGAGATAGAAATAGGGGTAGGAGGGGCTAAAATCTTGGTTAGCATGTGTATGACCTGCATATGCTTGATTATATATTGCAATTAAGTTGCAGTGTTTTAGCCTTTTAGAGCTATATGAAAACCAGACTTTAAGCACCTCAACTTTAACATATTCAATGTGTCATATTATTAATGCATTAATCAAGTCCCTTTAACTTCCAACTCATTCCTACCCCTATGCTTGTACCCCATGATTTGCAAAAATTAAGTGTAAAAAACCTAACTTAACTAACTGTGTTTGAAATTAGCCTGGCCCCATCCCAGACTGTCTCATGAGGTCCGATTTCAGATGCATCATGAGGTCCAGTTTCAGATGCATCATGAGGTCCAGTTTCAAATGCATCATGAGGTTCAGTTTCAGATGCATCATGAGGTCCAATTTCAGACTTATGATGAGGTCCATTTTTAGATGCATCATGAGGTCCAGTTTTAGAATCATCATGAGGTCCAGTTTTAGAATCATCATGAGGTCCAGTTTTAAATGCATCATGAGGTCTAGTTGTAGATGGAGACTAAAACAATGAAATCCATTTAGGTCACGGTAATAGTGAATATGTAATAGTTATAACTTACTAGACTTACTTCATCTTTGGATAATTTTTTTTCCTTTATACGATAACATAAGAATACCAAAATACATGTAAAAATTATTAGTACTAGAATAGCAAAAATGCCACCAATAATAGCTCCAGCAAGAACTGTGTAATAAATAAATTGTTTAGCTAGAACGTTAATTGTAACCTGGCATAGATACTTTTGAAGATGATTGTGCATCACTGATAGTACTAACAGTAGTAGTAGTTTCTATAAATAATACATTACATTACATTATGCTGCATGATAGATCTAGACTTACCAAATGTTAATAAAAATGGTTCACTTCTACCAATAGCATTACTAAATACAATTATAACTGAGCAGCTAGATTTATAACGTGGTATTGGTACTGATCCTGTTACATTATTATGATAATTCACTATAAGATATATGTTATGAAATATAACAGTTTCATTACACAGTATAGTAACAGTAGCGTTCTCAGGAGCTTCACCAGTACACTCAACTATAATCTGAAACATTGTCTCAAACAAAAAGATTTATGCATCTCTTACTGGTATGTTGAAATGAAGAATAACAGTGCTTTGAGTGTAGTTGCTAAAAGTCACAGTAGTCTTCTTAACTGATTGAGGGACTATAAAAATTTCAATTAGTGATTGTTCCATTTCCATATCAAAACCAGTAGTACCTCTTTGATATGAGAATGTATTATTATTAGATATTCCTTCTCCTAATTTATTAACTCCAGTTATAACATATGTATAATGATGAATAAATAAATTTTTATCCACAAACTGATAGCTAGTATTATATACTGATACATTTGTTAATAATTGGCCAGTGATATCATTATATATTTTCAGCACATAATGTGTTATTGCTAAATCATCACGATCAATTTTAGGAGCACTCCAAGAAACATTAATAGTAGAACAGTTGTCTATTGAAGACTCAATCCTAGTAACTGGTCCTATTTTATCTAATAGCATA